TTATTCCTATTAATCTTATGTTATTGTTCTTTTGCATCATTTTGCAGCTGTTGAATTGTTATTTCCTGGCTTCTTGTTATTTTTAAAAGATCTTTCATTTCCTGTTCACTAACTGCTATCTTCTCTTCAAGGTCTGAAATTCTATCTTCACTTTCATTGAGGTAGTTTTGAACACTTTCAATGAAACTTTTAATTTCCTGTATATCCCTTTGAATCTGCTTCATGTATTCTGTTTGTTTCTTAAATTCTTCATTCAGGGATACTATTTTTTGTTTTGTTCTTTTAATTTTTTAAATGTGTCTTCTTTAGATGTGTTCAGCATTTCTTTCATTTCTTTCATCATTTCTTCTTTTCCTGGAAGATTTTTTCTAGTTTGAATTCCTCTAAAGCTATCCAGAATTGCTTCTTTATTCAGTTGCTATGTTTTCAAGTATTTCAGCTTCACAGCATATACGTTCTGCTAAGTACATAGTGCTAAGGTTTCTTGGGATGGGTTGGAAGTTTGAAATTGTATTTTGATCTTTCATTTTGTCATTTTACTATACTTCTGTGTTTCAAGTGCTGTTCTAAGCCTTCGCTGGGCCTGTTGGAAATTGTCTTCTATGCCCTCAGCTCCTGAGACTCCAGCCACCCCACTTGCCAAAGTGAGAGGACCACTGGGGTTGAATCAGTTAGGCTCAATCTTGCAGAGAAGGTCCATTGTGGCAGCAAGCTCAGAAGTTACTTGGCCATTGGGAGAAATGGTTTTAAACTCCTGGGACATAGGATGGTGTGGGGACAATCACCTCAGCCCACCCTGTTTTCAGGATAGAGAAAGGTTCACTGGGGGTGTGGTAGGAAGCTCGGAAGTTCCTTGGCCATCTAGAAGGTAAAATTTTAAGTAGGTCTAGATGATTTTCTTGATGTTTACAGTTTGTTGTGATTTTGCCTGTTTCACTCATAATTGTCTGGACAAGAGTCTTTTCTTGCCTTCTTTTGATAAGGTTGACTAAGGTTTTGTCAATTTTTTTTTTTTACGTTTTCAAAGAACCAACTCTTTGATTCATTCTTTCTTTTTATTCCTTTTTTGTCTCCACTGTATTCATTTCTGTTCTGATCTTTATAATTTTTTCCATTGTATGAGATTTTGGATTAGCACGCTTTTCTTTCCCCTGAATTTGAGAATTCACATTAAGTTATTTGTATCTGCTGGCACTCTTTTGCTGATATGAGCATTTACTGTTATAAATTTCATTCTTAGGACCGCAATCATTGTGTCCCATAAATTCAGGTATGCTGTACATCATTATCCTTCAACTGTAAAAACTACCTAATTTATTCCTCAATTTCATCTGTGAAGCAGAATTTTATAAGCTGATCCAGGCATCATAGTCCATGCCTTAATTCCAGAACTGGCAAAACTGTGAGGATTACTTCTACACCTGGTTAGGATTACCATGATTTAGTTGCCAGCATCTTCTATATGTTGGAATCTACGGAAACCTGAACTGTATAGCAACACTTTGTCTCAAAAGAAAATAAAAAAGAAAGGAAAAAGAAGAGAGAGAATGAGAGGGAAATGCAAGGGAATGAAGGAGAATGGAAATACTACAACCTAAATCCAGAAACACAGATGAATGAATGAATAAAATCTCTAGTCAAGGAAAATTCAGGACTTGAGGCTTTTTCAGCATATATTATTTAAAGAACAACTGCAATGTTTCTCAAACTGTGCCAAAAGTTAGAAAAGATTGCATTTCTTTCAAACTGTTTTAGGTGATCAATCATAACCTGACACACAGTCAGACAATTTCATTACAAAATTAAGTACAGGCAAATATTTCTTTTGATAACTGATATAAAAATCTCTAACAAAATATCAGCAAATTGAATGTAAAGCACCACTACAAAACAAATGAGCTCTCCATTTTTGAATATCCTGAACAATTTATATATTATTATGAAAAAGAGAATGCATAGGACTCCAAAAATTAGATTCCTAAAACATCAATGCTTTATAAATGGAGAAAACAGTACAGGTTGTCAGGAATTCAGGTGGATTGACACAGAGGTGAATAGGTAAAATAAAAAATATCCAAAGGAACAATTCTGTGTAGTTCTACACTAGTTGATGTGTTACATATGTTTACCAAAGTCCTGCAGAAAAGATGAATCTTATCAGCTTTAATCAATAATAATATAACAATGTTGCTTCATCAATCATAAAAGGTTTATATGAATAGAAAACATTAGTTATGAAAGGAAAAGTAAACTGTATACAGAGAATGAATTAATAGGTGTTTAGAGAAATTTTGCTCAATTTTCTATACATTTCAAAATAATTTCTTAATTATTAAATGCAGCAATGTAAGATAAAATAACTGAAAGAGAAAAGAAAGAACAATACAAGTATAAGTTGTTTTTATTTTTTTTGTCCCAGTGAAGCCAAGGAGTGCAATAAAATCCAAATAATCAAAGAGTAAATTGGTCAAAAAAATAATAGAGATGATCCTTTTAAACTAAAAAGAGATAATCAAGTAAATCAACAATATTGAAAAAAAATTTTTATTAATGCATCCCAGAGACTAAAAACAATGATGGAGAATGGTACTTAGAAATTTGTCAACAAATTTACTCTATTTTGTGCAGTGTTAATGTGTCCTCTGCTTTCCTTAAAAGCATTGAGAAAATTTCTACTACATTTGATCTTTTTAAAAATTGGTTTTGTGTTTGGAACATTTGCTTCACTCATCTAGAAATGGGCATGGAGATTTCAGCTTTCATCCATGCATGGTATCATGAACCAGGATTATCCTTCTGCCCTAAAATCCTTAGGAAATGTAGAAAAATATGTGAAGGTGCAATACTGAGAATCTGAAAAACTACCCATGACAAAGAAGGGAATTGAAGTAGGCTCTAATGATGTGAAATTTTATAGACTTTCCATGTCAAATTATAAAAGAAGAAACCCAACAAAGCACACCCTGATTGTTCAGGAGGCAAAGTTCACCTTGGTGTAGCCACAATTCCTAGAATTCATGGGGGAAAGGAGTGGAAAAAGGCAACAACACAGTACAGGTTTAGGGTGGGTAAGAGGCTCCACATGTGCTCAGAGGGTCACCCACAATTGCAGAGTGGTTTTCCCTGTCCATTCTGAACCTGTACATTTCTTTTTGCCTCACCCAGCTGACCAGAGAGCCATTAAATTAGAAGGATCTGCAGAACTTATAAAGTAAATTCTTAAGCTGAAAGAGGGAAGATTTACCAACACCTTCTTCCAACCTAATCTTTTTTATGGTTCTAAACTGTATTCCTTTATTAGCATTTGAAAATTATGTCCAATATTTACACATAAACTCATTTCTTTTTTCTCTGCATAGGTATCCAGGTGCTTGTCCTATAAGCTTTGCTGCTCCTTATAGGTATGAAAAGACAAGTACTCTGTATAGTCAATGAACTAGATCTGATTTGATGTAAAATTGCTAGTAACAAAATCTAGAAACTTAAATTCACCTGAAAGCCCCGGAAACATTTCAATAGGATGTAATAATCACAATTAAAATTTTCTATTACAAGTACTGATATACCACCTTTGGAATTTAAGGCTAGTTCTGGAAACCTGTCTCCTTAATTAGGACTTTCAGTAGGAGCTTGACAGAGGACCAACTTCATGGTTCCTCACTCCAGGGAATCTGTGTATTACCCTAGTACTTATTACTTTAAATGACAGAAAGTAGGGTAAGTGGCCACAGCATGAGCAAGCAGCCAACAAGCCAGGAACAGAAGTCAGTGTCTTCTGAGATCCAGCCATGTTGGAACATATTTGGCTAAGTAAGAAAGCAGCATGTCATCCTTTTTTGCAGCAATCATTTCCCCAAAAGCAGCAGGTGAGCCAGGAGGACAACAAGTCAGCATCTCCTGAGATCCAGGCATGTGGGAACTTAGTAGTCTGAATAAGAAAGCCACATGCCCTCCATCTTGGTAAGCACCCATGTCATGAGAAAGCAGTTGGTGAGCCAGTTAGAGAAGAAGTCAACATCTCATGTGAACCTATCTCTGCATGAGCTGAGAATCAAATGTTCCATCCACCTCCACCCCCATTTAGCAACTGGATGGTTTTGAGGACAGCTGGAATTGATAGCAGCTAAGGCACAGAAAGCAACTAAATGCTTGTCTTGTTGTGTTGTGTTGGTTGTGCTGACCTGGGGACAGAGGTCTGAGGATCTCTTGGGAGTATCATATGCAATATAGCATTTATGGGGGATTTCTTTCTATCTTCTCTTTGAAGGCAAATATGGTTACACTGTTTTTGCTTCATTCTTATTAAATGTTTGTTCTATTCAATATACTGTCTTGATAGGTTTTGTAGTATTCTGTTTTTGGTTTGATTTTGTTACACCTGATTGAATGGACAACTATTATGAAAATAATAGGATATACTATGGTACCTATTACTGATATCCCTGTATCCCACTCTGAAGTTATATACCAATCTCATTGCACGGTCTTGATTGGCATTGCCTTGTTTTGTTTTGTTGTATTTTTACTACCTTCAGAATAAAAATAAATAAATGAATAAATAAATAAATAAATATATCACAGAATGTAATGTACTCAACAGAAGTTATTAACACAATCTTGTTTAGATGAAAGGATACACAGAATTCAATTGATTTATCTTTTTTTGCAGATATTATTAACTTGGATCAGGGTTATGTCAGTCAATATTCTTTCCAAGTGACAGCAGAAGCATGCCATGAAGTAGACTTTCTTTTTTCCTTTCTATCTTTGTTTTTTCTGTGTTAGTTTTGCTTTATTTTTGTTCTTGTTTTTATGTGAGTATGAACATGATTTCTACTATTCATTTCTTTTCTGACATGCTCATTTTCTATGTTTTTTTTTTGTTCATTTGAGGCAGTGATAGAAACTCATACTTTTTAATTTCCACATTTCATTTACAAGATAGTAATTATTTATATTTTTTAAAAGAAATAAATTAACATTTATGTTTTCCTTTGTAGAAAGAGAAGTGAATCAGAAGCAACTGAGATGGCTCCTACACAGGCAGCAAGCCAGGTATGGACAGCTGAGGAAGCTGTGTTGTGAAAGTTTTCACAGAGAAGTTCATAATAAAATTCCCCTTTTAAATTTTTTAATTTTGTTTGTGTTTTATGTGCCTTAATTGGGAGGAGAGAATGGAAGAGAAATAAAGCTAGAGTGGGATAAGGCCAAAAATTTTTCCCACAACATCTAAGAACCACAGGTCATTTCAAGATATATGCACAGAGTGCATTGTTTTGTCCCATTTTCAACAATGTCAGCCTGCTTCATGTGTATAAGGGAGGTTTCTATGTGTGAGTACACAAGGATAGGACACATGTATGACAAATATCTGCAAAAGCCATCAGTAAGGCTAGGCAAAGAGGCACTTACTTGGCAAGTACAAGGCTGTGAGATCAACCCATGGAAAGAAGAGGAAGAGAGAAAATGAACACCTTTAGCATTTTTATTGTATAATTATTATACAGGTAGTTATCTCATTTTTATACTCTTAAAAGATGTACACAACCAATGTATAAGTGGTGACCTGTAGTAAGCCATAGTTAAACAAATGGTTCCAAATGTGTACCTGTTCACTAAACCTGGAATCATATCTTTAGGGTTTTTTAGAGAGCTCAGAGCCATTAAAGAGTCTAGTAGTTCCAAAACACCACCACTAGTGATTTTTGCAAAAGTCAAAACATTGAGATAGGGTCTCCTGTTTTCTCTTTTTTCTTCTACTCCTCACTTTCAGGATAGTATAGAAATATATATTCTGTTCTTTCAAACATTAAATGTTCACAGTGAGAGAGCTCGTTTTGAAATTTGTAATGTGAATTTGTAAACACGTTTTAGGGCAGTTGTAAGGAATAAAATTTGCTTCTCAACATGAATACCTCAGAAATACACAAAAGGATTCTACATTTAATCCCATTTCTTTGCCATTTTCTTAATTCTGAGCACTTTCCTCTCCTTTTTCTCCAGGAACATGATTGGACTGCTCCCTCAGGACGACAGTTTTTGCTCTACCACTGCGGGAATGTGTGATAGTGCTTATGGTGCATGTCTGTGTCACTGGGCCAGGACAACATGAGCAGAGACACGCATCATGTGATTGTCCCTTGGTTTCAGCAGCCTGAGTTGTGTGTCATTTATTTCTCCCATTCCCTATGTTAATTAGTGACACAGTTCATCCATTGTGTCCATTCCCTGGATGGGCCTGAAGTCACCGGCACACCCTGAAATTTTCCCCATATTTTCACTCTAACACACAGACAAAGAAGGAGGTGTCATACAACTGTATAAAGTAAGGTTCAGTTTTATTTATAGAAAAAGGACAGGGAGAGAAAAAAGCCACTTTGAGAAGTAGGGTGTGAGAATATGGGTGACTGCAAAGAAAGCCGGGAAGGAGTCTTGCAGTTATGTGACGAAGTTCATGGTTCCTCCTTGTGAAGGTAGTTACATCCCACAGGTTTGTCTTCCTCTTTGCTGAGGGAGACTTGAGAATGCATGACCCAGTACTCCTAAATTCTCAAGATCCCACCTGCATTTTCTGACATTAAGTGGGTTCCCATCTGTCCCTAGAGAGCCACAATTCAGTGCTTCCTTATAAAAGAGTGAAATTTCTCCTGACAGCCCTATAAAATTGTGATTCACTATTAGCAAATGTGGCTAGTTTTTAAGATGCCAAATGGATAGGTCAGATCTTAGGACGGTCTCAGACACTTGCATGGGGTCCCAGGAAAGTACACTGTGTGGAAACCAGAGAGTGAAAGGCGTCAGCCACTAAATGAGTGTATGACATCACCACGGACTTCCACGGAGAGGTCTCCAGGATGTCAGAAACATGATAGTTGATGAAATACTGTCTCAGCTTTCAACTGATGTGCACTGTGGACATCAGCCAAGATGAGGATTTCCACGATATTCTAAAAGGTGAGATTGCTGCAGAGGTGGTTCTCACACCTGAGCTTCAGGCACTCCAGACCAAACCTGACTGCAGCATCCAGAAGTTCAGATGCCATCATCCCTAGTTTTGGTGCCTTTCTAATGTAAACAAAGTATATCATTTCCTTAAAACTTCAGGTTCCATGTCACTGATTTCAGCATGATTCTTTTTGCACACTTGCATTTCATGTTCAAACAAAGCCATGAAAACTGAAGAGCAGGCTGCTAAGATGGCTTTGTGAGCCTGGAATTCCTGTCCAGCCACACACAAGCAACAGTCTGTGAAGTGGGAATGCTTCCATAGCCCTCCTAGATCTTCTCCCAAGCAGCCCTCAGGAACCTTCACATTTTTCAGATTCTGGCTGGAATTATTGGTGGGATCTTGTGCTACTTTCACTTCACAGAAGAAGGAAAGGATGTCACTGGGGAGAAATCCATTGTTTGCATCCAAAATAAACTCTTTAAGATGAATTTTCTGTATCCCCAGTCTTTTTCTTGCACAAATTTATAAGCTTGTTGACTTGAGATCTCTTTTGTTTTCTCTCCTTTGGCATTCAGAATGTAAAAGATGAATTTTGCATGAAATTCCCTCTTTGAACATCTGAGCAATATCAGGTATAGTGACAGGTAATCTTTGCTTTCTTCATCAATCCCTTGTGGGTATACTCATAAGCAACATTTTAGTTTATCATTTGCTTCAGATGAAAAGGTTGGAGTTTGAATGTATTTGTCCATTTCCTTTAGGCAAAACTAAAGGAATTTAGTTTTGCCATATGTAGAACAATTTCATTATTTTAAATTTTGTGGTGCAGTGCCAGTCAGGTTCTGGTGCATTCAACATTTTCCTGTGGCTGGAGCATTTGGAACACTTGACATCACCAGTCAGGGTGAAAGTGAAACTAAGTTTCCCAAGTGACAACAAAAATTTCTCTCTTCAACTGTTGGTACAAATTTTCTTTAATGCATATAATGTATATAATTATACAATAAAAATGCTAAAGGTGTTCATTTTCTCTCTTTCTCTTCTTTCCATGGGTTGATCTCACAGCCTTGTACTTGCCAGTAAGTGCCTATTTGGCTAACCTTTCTGATGGCTTTGCAGATATTTGGCATACATGTGTCCTAACCTTGTGTACTCACACATAGAAACCTCCCTTATACACATGAAGCAGGCTGACATTGTTGAAAATGGGACAAAACAATGCACTCTGTGCATATATCTTGAAAAGAACTGTGGTTCTTAGATGTTGTGGGAAACAATTTCATTATTTTAAATTTTGTGGTGCAGTGCCAGTCAGGTTCTGGTGCTTTCAACATTTTCCTGTGGCTGGAGCATTTGGAACACTTGACTTCACCAGTCAGGGTGAAAGTGAAACTAAGTTTCCCAAGTGACAACAAAAATTTCTCTTTTCAACTGTTGGTACAAATTTTCTTTCAATCAGGAAATCTGGCACAAGGAGGATGACATAGGAGTTGTGAAGTAGAGAGCCTAACAGATTAACATAATAATGTAGAAATATATTTACTAAGATTTTTAGCATATCAGTCAATTACATGTCATTATTGATCACTGGAAGGGATAGGTAATCTATGAAATCTCCTTTCTACTGGGAGTGGTGGGGCATGCCTGTAATCTCAGCCCTGAGAAAATGGAGGCAGGAGAATTGCTAACTGCTCGCAGACAGCTAGAACTACAAGGCAAACCCTGCCTTGTGAAAATCAAAGTTTTAAAAAGGAAATCTCCTTTTAATGATGCTAAATGACGCAGGGCATTAGGTAACATTTTTGATGATACTGGGAATTGTACCTGAAACCTTTCCTCAGAGTTATGAATCTGCTCCTCTTAGTTGTTTAAAAAAAAATTCTTATGAATTTAGCACATTTGCAAATCAGAGATGAAACTTGCAGTCCTCCTGCTGATGCTTCCTAAATGCTGGCACTACAAAAGTTCACAGGCATATCCAGCCTGGTTAAGAGGTTCTCTAACTACAAGAGCCGTTTGGTTTTAACATTATGAAGCACACCAAGGCTGTAACACAATTACCTAAAATGACCTACAAAGCAATTAGGCTCTCTGAAAATTTATGGTCATTGTGATACCGGCCTTATTAAGATCCTTGATTTTTTGCTTCATCTTAAGCTTGCAGTAACATATTGTACTCCACTCAGAGTTTGTAGCACAAAGGTTTAGAAACTTTGCTGAGAATGAGACAGAAAAATTAAGTAGCTCTCTCTGTTGTCTCTAATCTGAGCATGGGAATTTGCAGTTTGGTCAGCAGCTTTTTATGCTTCAGTCTTGCTAACTCTCCCACCCCAATTGACTGGGACAGTTCCCTTCAGTATTCTCTGGCGTTTCCATCCTCCACTTCAACATGAGTGCAGATACATCTAGCTGTGAAACTTCCCCACTTTTGGTTCTTTGGTTGATACTGTTGCATTTGAGAAGATACAAGGCACCTAGGAATAACTAAAAGCATCATGGGAGGGACGTGTTTCCATGATTCTCATAAACAGCTTGCACAGCAACATTCTAGGAGACTCCTTTATTTGGGCCTTCAGCTTGTCTGACTCAAGTGTGTCATTCTCCAGTGAAGATCAGCATCTAAAAAATATTGTACCAGTTGAAGAGCAATGTTTCTTTTTACAAGGGAGGATAGTTGAAATTGAGGATAATCAAGTGACTAAATTTGTCCTTGGTGTCAAAATGCCAAACCTAGAGCTCAAGTACTCTCTGAATGAACCTGGGGATGGCCAAAATGTATTCTTATTGCTTTCTAACATAAATGTCATTAAGATGAAATAAAATAAACTGGCGTTATGTTTCAAAATTGAGTGTAATTTCAACTTGTAAATTCAGCTTAAATCGAGGATCCTGTTCCTTCTAGTCCAATATGACCTATCTCAAATATCCCTACCTACATCAGTAAACCCACATGAAGGAAAATGATTTAATGCAATATAAACAAATCTGCAAAAAGTTACATGACTTACTTACAATTAACACCCAAAAAATCACATGTATGAGAGGAAAAATTTCAGTCTGCATGTTGGAGATATAAATGACACAGTTGAAATACTGGGGTCCTGTTGAGTCTGGCCTGAGTACCTCTCAGGAGACTGAAGTGGTTTTGATGGAATCTAGAATAGGGAGTCTAAGGTCCTAGCAAGGTAGAGATCCTTGAACGAAACAGAAGCTACCCTTCCTTCTTGTTAGCCCTTTATACCACTCAGGTAAGGATCCACCTCAGGGTTGATCTTCCCACCCTATTCTAATCCAAATCAACCTGGTGAGCCTTACTAAAAGTTTCATTCTCAGTTACATTTCCTACCACCTCTCTTTTCTATATATTTAGAGAAAAGTGATTGTTTCATGGCTTTTGAATTTATTTTATTCTTATTCAACAACTAACAATGTTAACATTTTGGAGGCATCATCTTGCTCTCTATTCCAAACTAGATTTTTTTTTTTTTTTTACTTTACTGATCCTCCTGCTTCAGGTTTCTGAGTGCTAGAATTGCAGATATCATGACTGTGCTTGGCTTCTCTATTTCTAAATTTCTAATGAGGCAGGGCAAGATGCTGAAATGTGTGTTCAGGAATCACCAGTATCAAAACTATACTCAAGAGAGTGTGGAGTGCATACAAAATAAGGGACAAAATGCATCTTTCCTCCACGCTCCTCCCTTTTTCCTCTCATTCCTTGTGCTGTTTCCTGCTCCAAGACCTGTTGCTGCCCTCCGCCATTTGCCATACTGCCTGGGAACCAGGCAATTTTAGACTGAATCCTCCTCCGAATGTGAGGGATATAATACTTCCCTACATTAACCTTGAGTGTTGGCTATTTTGTCTCAGCATCATAAAAAATATAACCAAGACATAATGTTGCAAAACTATGGAATATTGGTCTCATTATTAAACTCTGTCTCTTTCATCAATCAGGTTCTTCTCTGGCTTTTTGGAAGCTCCTCTGGAAGTGTTAATCTCATGCAATAAGTGTTCAGGTCTGAATTTTCCTATCTAGTATTGATTCTCTTAGCAAAATTTCAGCGTTTCAGGTTGAATAATTTCCTTCTCCTTTTATGGTTTATTAAATGTTTTTGCACATTCACATCTCAGAATTTGTCTTGTGACTTACACTTTGCTGGTTAAAAGAGGGTTTTGTCAAGAAAAAGAATAACTTGGTCGAAGTGAAAGTGGCAGAGAAGGAGAATGGCAGATACAGGCCAGAAACACTAACAATAAAGTATGTGAGAGTATGAAACTTGATGCATATTGGTGTCAACATGGAGAGCTTTGTGGTTTATCATCTGCCTCCCATGTGAGAGAGTATGGGAGGGCAGGGGGCAGAATCACCTGTGTGCTGCCGTGCTGAGTGGTCCAGGACACACTGTCTATTTTTCCTATCAAGTGCTGATGGGCAATGCAGGACAGAAAATCCTGTGAGGCTACCATGACGAGCAGAGTTTTCCCTCAGCAGGCTCATTTGAGTAAATTTCAGCTACAGAGAATATATAAATGCAGTAGATTCTGGACTACAGAAGAAATAGATGGGTCTACACTGGTATACACATTCACCAATAAATGTAGGCTGACTTACCACATCTAGGTACTAGGGGTTGCAAGAACCCCATATCCTCGAGAATCATACAGAACAAGAGGGGTGAGGAAAACAGCATTGATTTCGGTGAGGAAAGTTGAAAAATGCTTTGGGAATAAATGTCGTTTAAACTCAGGAGCACAACAGAAATAAATTGCGATGTGGGTTGTTAAAGTAGCTGTTTATGTGGTAAGCATTTTGAGCAATGTTCAGGAATATTACCTAAATATTCCAGAGACATACTCCTTAGATTCAGCCACCTCTGAAAAATCCCCAAATATGACTGCATAGGAATATGTAGACATAATCTGTAACAGGCTTATTAAATTACTAAATGCCCCAGGCTGAGATAATATTTCTTCTGGCTCAGAAATCAAGAGTGCTGGAGTTAAAGGTATATGTCACACTGATGGGTATATTGCTTATTATTTTTCTATGCTATTTAGCTTTCTGTCACAAAAAACCTGAGGAAATACATTTAATAAAAGAATTGTTTTATTTTATCTTACAGATTGAGAAGTTTAATCCATATTTGCTTGGCCTGTGTGCATTGGGCCTGTGGTGACCCAGTTCACCATGAAGTGGCTGTGTGGTAGAGGATCTAGTTCACTAGACAGTAGCCATGGTGGAAAGAAAAAAATTGGCATAGGTCTGTGGTCCCTGTATTCTTCTCAGGGATGTATCCCAGTGGTTACCTTCCCTGAAATAGACCCTAACATTTCAAAGTTCACACCTCACAACTGGGGCTGGGATGAAACCAAACCTTGGAAAACCTTGTATTCAAAAGTTCTTTTAGGTTATTTCAAACTCAACCCATATCCTGTTTCCCTCTCCGTCATGTGAAGAGGTCTATTTTCCATTGTCAAACTTTGTGCACAACTTTGGCCTTGCAAACAGTCACTGAAAATACAAGCCCAAATTTTCAGTTGTTTGGAATTGCCTTTATCCTTTTCTATATGTTGATCCAGTACCTACTCTTTTGTTTATGTATAAAATTATGTAGTATTGATTTTACTTTGTTTCTCTAATTTTTCATCTTCATAAATAACACTTTTTCTAAATTTGAAGGATAGATTCTCATAGAAGTAATATTACCGTGTCAATTGAGACCACAAGATAAGAGTAACAAGAATTGTCAGAATGTAGAAAGTAAAAAAGGAGAAGGAAGAGGAGCAGAAACCTCAATGATTTAGGCTACATGTACTTTAGGAATCAAACTCAGGTGCCTTCCATAGTGATCAGACAGCTCCAGTCAAGCTGCCTGCTCTGGTGGCAGATGCCTCTGGCCGC